CTCAGTTGGTTGAGCGTCTGCCTTTGGCTTAGGTCATGATCCCAGGGTCCTGGGATCAGGTTGCACATCAGGCTCCTTACTCAGTGGGGAGCCTGCTTCTCCCTTGCCTGCCACTCCCCTACTCCCCCTGCTTGTGCTCTCTCCCTCTCTGATCAATAAATAAATAAAATATTTTAAAAAGAGAAATAACTGCCTATGTTTAAAAAAAAAAAAAGAAATGGAAGGAAAACTTCCAAACTCGTTCTATGAGGCCAACATTACCTTGCTCCAAAAACCAGAGAAAGACCCCATCAAAAAGGAGAATTATTGACCAATAGCCCTGATGAACATGGATGCCAAAATACTCAACAAGTTCCTAGAAAGTAGGATCCAACATTACATTAAAAGGATTATTCACCATGATCAGGTGGGATTTATTTCTGGGATGCAAGGGTGGTTCAATTTTCGAAAATCAATCAATGTGATAGATCACATTAATAAAAGACAAGAACCTTATGATTCTCTCAATTGCTGCAGAAAAAGCATTTGACAAAATACAACATCCTTTCTTGATTAAAACTCTTCAAAGTGTAAGGATAGAGGGAACATACCTCAATATCATAAAAGTCATTTATGAAAAGCTCACAGCGAATATCATTCTCACTGGGGGAAAAAATGAGAGCTTTTCCCTTAAGGTCAGGAACATGACAGGGATGCGCACTCTTACCACTTTTGTTCAACATAGTACTAGAAGTCCGAACCTCAGCAATCAGAAAACAAAAAGAAATAAAAGCCATTCAAATTGGCAAAAACAAGTCAAACTCTCTCTCTTCACAGATGATATGATATTTTATTTGGAAATCCACAAAGACTCCACCCCCAAATTACTAGAACTCATACAGCCATTCATCAACATGGCAGGATACAAAATCAATGCACAGAAATCAGTTGCATTTTTTACACTACCAATGTAACTGAAGAAAGAGAAATTAAGGAATCAGTTCCGTTTACAATAGCACCAAAAACCTTAAGATACCTAGGAATAAACCTAACCAAAGAGGTTAAGGATCTATACTCTAAAAACTACAGAACACTTATGAAAGAAATGGAGGAGGAAGACACAAAGTGATGGGAAAACATTCCATGCTCATGGATTAGAACAATAAACATTGTTGAAATGTCTATCCTGCCTAGCCATCAAAAAAAGAAAGAAAGAAAGAAATCTTGCCATTTGCAATGATGTGGATGGAACTAGAGGGTATTATGCTAAGAGAAATAAGTCAATCAGATAAAGACAAGTATCATATGATCTCACTGATATGAGGAATTTGAGAGACAAGACAGAGTATCATAGGGGAAGGGAGGGAAAAATGAAACAAGATGAAACCAGAGAGGGAGACAAACCATAAGAGACTCTTAATCTCAGGAAACAAACTGAGGGTCGTTGAAATGGAGGGGGGTGGGAGGGATGGGTGGCTGGGGGATGGACATTGGGGAAGGTATGTTCTATGGTGAGCACTGTGAATTGTGTAAGACTGATGAATCACAGACCTGTACTCCTGAAACAAATAATACATTATGTTAATAAAAAAAAGAAAAAAATGTCTATCCTGCTTAGAGCTCTACACTTTCAATGCCATCCCTATTAAAATACCATTGGCATTTTTCAAAGAGCTGGAACAAACAATCATAAAATTAGTATGGAACCAGAAAAGACCCTGAATAGCCAAGAGAATGTTGAAAAAGAAAAACAAAGCTGGGGGCATCACGTTGCCTGATTTCACGCTATATTACAAAACTGTGATCACCAAAACAGTATGGTGTTGGCACAAAAACGGACACATAGATCAATGGAACAGAATAGAGAACCCAGAAATGGACCCTCAACTCTATGATCAAATAATCTTCGACAAATCAGGTAAAAATATCCAATGGAAAAATACAGTCTCTTCAATAAATGGTGCTGGGGAAATTGAACAGCCACATGCAGAAGAATGAAATGGGACCATTTCTTTACACCACACACAAAGATAGACTCAAAATGGATAAAAAACCTAAATGTGAGACAGGAATCCATCAAAATCCTAGAGAACATAGGTAGTAATGTCTTCAACATCAGCCACAGCAACTTCTTTCAAGACACGTCTCTAAAGACAAGGAAAACAAAAGCAAAAATGAACTTTTGGGACTTCATCAAGGTAAAAAGCTTCTGCACAGCAAAGGAAACAGTCAATAAAACTAAGAGGCAACCCACAAAATGGGAGAAGATATTTGCAAATGACATTACAGATAAAGGGCTGCTTTCCAAGATCTATAAATAACTTCTCAAACTCAACACCCAAAAAAACAAGAATCCAGTCAAAAACTGGGGCAGGAGACATGAACAGACACTTCTCCAGTGAAGACATATAAATGGCTAACAGAGACATGAAAAAATGTTCAACATCACTAGCCATCAGGGAAACACAAATCAAAACCACAATGAGATACCACCTCACACCAGTTAGAATGACAAAAATTAACAAGGCAAGAAACAACAAATGTTGGAGAGGTTGTGGAGAAAAGGGAACCCTCTTACACTGTTGGTGAGAATGCAAGCTGATACAGCCACTCTGAAAAACAGTATGGAGGTTCCTCAGGATGTTACAAATAGAGCTACCCTATGACCCAGCAATTGCACTACTAGGTGTTTACCCCAAAGATACAGATATAGTGAATATAAGGGGTACCTGCACCCCAATGTTCATAGCAGCAATGTCCGCAATAGCCAAACTGTGGAAGGAGCCGAGATGTCTTTCAACAGATGAGTGGATAAAGATGTGGTTCATATATACAATGGAATATTACTCAGCCATCAGAAAGGATGAATACCCACCATTTGCATCGACATGGATAGAACTGGAGGGGATTATTCTAAGTGAAATAAGTCAAGCAAAGAAAGACAATTATCATATGGTTTCAATCATATGTGGAATATAAAAAATAGCACAGAGGACTATAGGAGAAGGGAAGGAAAACTGAATGGGAAGAAATCAGAGAGGGAGAAAAACCATGAGAGACTCTGGACTCTGGGAAACAAACTGGGGGTTACAGAAGGGAGGGTGTGGGGAGGAAGGGGTAGCCAGGTGATAGGTATTAAGGGTGGCATGTGTTGTGATGAGCACTGGGTGTTAAACGCAACTAATGGATCATTGAACACTACATCAGAAACTAATTATGTACTTTATGTTGGCTAATTGAACATAATAAAAAATTAAACATTAAGTAAAAATAAAAAATTAAAATAAAGTTGAAAAATTAATGATGCACTGTATGTTGGCTAACTGAACTTAATAAAAAAATCTTTATTTCTCATTTATATTCTTAGTGCTCTGTAGAATGACTGAAATATATGAGGCATTGTAAATGGGTTATCAAATAGGGAATTATATCAATAACTATGAGATGGATAAAACTGCACTATTTTTAGAAGTGTATCAGGACATCTATAGTAATGGAAAGAAGAAAATCATGAAGAACAAGAAGGAAATAAAAATGATTGAACCAGAGATACTATGGGTGAGCTGAGGAACGGGGGCCCTGGACGTTCTGAAATGTGCTTGACAGGTCACACTATACTTTTTGCAATCTAAAAGACAGACTCCAAAACAACAGATTAATTGTTTATATGAAGAGCTCTTCCCCCTGGATAGTCACAAGTGCTTGGAGACCCAAGTCCTCAGAGACCCTTAAAACATACCAAATCTAAGAGTGCCTTCCTCATGAGGGACCTACAAGGTAAAGACAGGGGAACATAAGCAAGTCATCAAATACCATCTGTGTTTAGCACGGGCTATTTCTCCAAATAGAAATACATTAATCAGATAATAACTCCTGGAAACCAGTAAAGTGGGATGAACCAAGGACTCCCCACCTGCAAAATATCAGTGTCTGAGCTTGCATTTTACTATATGATATTGAATATGGTTTTATTTTTACACAGAATCTGGATTTACACATCTAGTGAACTGTAACTCTGCTGTTTACATTTATATGTTAAATGTGATTTCATTTTCACTGTTATTAGTAATGAGATTTACATTGTATAATAATGATTTATTTGTAGTCTTAGGTGAACGTAGAATGTGAGATTGAGTTATGTATTTTTCTGTGCTTGTATTTAGATATGTAATGCGTTAGTGTGTGAATTGGTGGAGTTTATGTGTGTGGTTTGGGTATTTGCATATGTGCTGTGGTGTAAGGGGATACATTTGAGAGGCTGTAAAATGCAGCAATAAGCAACCAAGAAAGACTCTTCATCTCTTTCCTAAACATCTTTTAAAACTAAGGAGACCTTCACTCCTTCAGATAACTTTATCTGCCTCTGGGAGCTCGAAAGAGATGATCTTTCAAATTTCCATCCTCCCCCTTGCAAACCATAAAATTTGTCTAAAGGCAAAATGTTAAAGGAAAAAAAAGGAAAAGGATCAAGTGGGTCTGGAAACTGAAGAACAAGCTGGAAAAAATGTTTAAAAGAGGTGAAAATTAGGTCAAGAGGATACACGCTGAGAGGAAAGGAACGAGAAGCCACTGAATGAAGAAAAGAAAAAGGCAGATACAGAAGGACCCAACAGGGAAAAAAACACAAAGGAAAATCCCCTTGACTTGGAACGGGTGTTTCCTGCCCTGAACATAGAAGGAATTCTGACTTTGAGAAGAAAAATGCCTGTCAGCAAGGAGGGAAGACGAGGCTGGAATGACTCATGTCTCAGTCCAGGGGAAACTGAAGACAGAACTGAGTGTGTTCCATTAAAGGCAGGCACCTGAGGAGATCAGGGGAAGAAGAAAGGCTCTCAGATTTCAGTCCTCACCTGGCTCCAAAGAGAGCAGGGCTGACAGGGACCAAGTCTGTGCTGCCCCAAAGGCAGGGAAACCCTGAAAGAAAGGGCATTCCAATGTCTTCTTGACCAAATGCAGCAAGGGATCCCCTCTGCCCATGTCACAATTCCATGATTGCCATTTCTCTGTCCTTTAGGAGTGAGATGAGCACAAACACCTCCATGGTGGCTGAGTTCATCCTTGTTGGCTTCTCCCACCTGGTCAACCTCCAGGGCTTGCTCTTCTCTGTCTTCCTCACCATCTACCTGCTCACCGTGGCAGGCAACCTCCTCATAGTGGTGCTGGTCTCCACAGATGCTGCTCTCCAGACCCCCATTTACTTCTTCCTTCGAATGCTCTCAGCACTGGAGATCGGCTACACATCTGTTACTGTGCCCCTGTTGCTTCACCACCTGCTCACAGGCCGGCGCCACATCCCTCACTCTGGCTGTGCTCTCCAGATGTTCTTCCTTTTCTTTGGTGCCACAGAGTGTTGTCTCCTGGCAGCCATGGCCTATGACCGCTATGCAGCCATCTGCAAACCTCTTCATTACCCACTTTTGCTGAGCCACCGGGTGTGCCTACAGCTAGCGGGAATGTCGTGGGCCTGTGGAGCGATGGTGGGCCTGGGCCACACCGCCTTCATCTTCTCCTTGCTCTTTTGTGGCCCCAATGCCATTCCACACTTCTTCTGTGAGATCCAGCCTATCCTGCAGCTGGTGTGTGGAGACACCTCACTCAACGAGCTTCAGATTAGCCTGGCTGCTGCCCTCATCATCCTTTGCCCCTTCGGCCTCATCCTGGGCTCCTACGGGCATATCCTGGCTACAATCTTCCGGATGTCGTCTGCTGCTGGCCGCAGCAAGGCCTTCTCCACCTGCTCCTCCCACCTGGTTGTGGTCTCCCTCTTCTATGGCACTGCCATCTTCATCTACATCCGCCCTGAAGCCAGCTATGATCCAGCCACGGACCCTCTGCTGTCCCTCTTCTATGCTGTGGTCACCCCCATCCTTAATCCCATCATCTATAGTCTGCGGAACACCGATGTCAAGGCTGCCCTAAGGAGAACCCTCCAGAAAATGAGGCCTGCAAACACTTGACAAGGGGGTGATGATGGTGACTGTCCCTCCCACTCAGCCCCCCATCACCAAGGATCAAAGGGAAGAAGGCATGGTCCTCACCTGAGGGGGGCCAGCCTGTGAAGAAGACAGAGTTACCTTGGAAAATGGAGCCAAACCGCTCATTAGACCCCCGTGACACACACACACACACAACTCTGCCTTCTGTTGTAGGAACAGGAAACCCAAGATGGATTTCCTGTACAAGCCGAGCAAGTTGACAACTAAAGGACGCATTACAAAATGTCATCTCCACCAGACCATCAAGGTAATGAAACTTTCAGGCACAGTACTAGTTCTTTTTTTTTTTTAAGGTTTTATTTATTTATTTATTTAGTTAGTTAGTTAGTTAGTTAGTTAGTTAGTTAGTTAGTTTTTTGAGAAAGAGAGAGACAGAGAGCACAAGCAGGGTGAGGAGCAGAGGGCGAGGGATAAGCAGACTCCATGCTGAGTGCAGAGCTCACCATAGGCCTGGATCCCATGACCCTGAGAGCATGACCTGAGCCAAAATCAAGAGTCAGATGCTTAACCAACTGAGCCACCCAGGCCCCCAAGGTACTGATTCTTTTTTTTTTTTTTAAGATTTTATTTATTTATTCATGAGAGACAGAGAGAGAGAGAGAGAGAAGCAGGCTCCCAAGGAGCAGGGAGCCCGATGCGGGACTCGATCCCAGG